TAAGTCACTCAGAATACCTGACTATTTACAATTAAAGTTATCAGTTTCATAAATATATGCTGAATTCTTTAATACAATAATTTTAAAGGAGGCTTGCTGCATATAGAAATTTACCATGTGAAAGAAGCACATGACAGCTTATATCAATTAAACATTACACACTTAATCTATTAAGTTTCTGTATTAACAACTGCTTATATTAAAATTGCACCTGTCCTTTCTTGGGGGAAAAAAAGGGCCACAAAGTTAAAATACAATTTGGTTAAATGTGTTTTTTTGATGTAACCAAGAATCCTCTACCTAAACATATGCTCTCCATCAAGGAGGCATATATTCTTGTTCAAAAACAAACTTACTAACTGGACTCTGCTTCTTAATACTTACTTACTAAGTGAATCTTCAAATCAAACCTCCTTTATTTAAACATGTCACAAGACTAGCCATGTCCTAAACCAAAACAAATATAATGTCAAAAATTACCAACTACACTTTATAACGCTATCATATCAGCTAGACCTTAAAGAAATACAATCTACATTTTCAGTGTTGCACACAACATGAGAGTGTTGGGTATCCTTTTCCTATTAGATGAAAATATTTCTGGTAGCACTTTTTATACTTGATTCTAGTAAACACGTTTAATCACAATGGTTATTCACAAATAGAATAGGGTGAAAAAAATAAAATTAACTGCCACTTCATAATTATTTCTGTAGCCTACAAGTTCTCCTTTTTGTGTTTTAAAGTATTTTGTGATAAAAATGTACAAGCAGCTCCTCTCTTAAAAAAAAAGGCAAAGAGCGAATGGAGTTCCCAGGCAGCATTTAGGGAATGAAGAACCCTGTCAAAGCTAAGGCTCACAGCAGCTGATAAAGCCAGTTTTTGCAACATGCCTGTGAGTGTACAGGCTGCTGAGCTCCAACAGAGAACAGTCTCCTTAATCCTGTCACAGACTGTATCCAGAGTGCAGGTGTCAGTTACGACAGTTGCAGAGAGGAAGGATAGTCCATTACTCACTTGATGTATTGATTTTGGCTTACAACTCGCCTTGAACATAATGCATAAATTCTTCTTTAAAGGTTATTGTTAGTTAGCTTTAAAAGTCTGGGGTCAGTTAAGTGAGCAATGTTGCAACCATATGACTGAGTTCCCTTTCAACACTGTTCTGACATTCTATTATTCAATGGTCATATTAGTGAAAAAAAAAAAAAAGAAAAAAAGCTTGATTATGCATCTGGAAATCTGAGGAAGACCAGATTTTTGTACCATTGATTCACATCATATCAGTTTGTGAAAAGAGAGTGAGGAGAGAGAAATAAAAAAGCATTAAATTCTCTTACATTTGCAAAGTATTTCCATATTATCTCATAAATCCACAAAAATTCAGTTCACAGATGGACAAATTAAAGAAGTACCACAGATTAACGTCAAATTTAGTAATGCTTTTGTTAGAGGGGTATTAGAGGCAGAGGAGAAGGAATAAATAATCTACGATGTAGCGTGGCAGTTAAGATGAAACTAGGTCTCTCCAACTTGTGAGGCTGTCAGTTGTTCTCAATACCAAGATGCCCAGCCCACTGCAAGAAACCCATGTAACACTTTGCAATTTGCTGTCTGGGTGGGACTCAGAAAACTGGTAACTTGTAACTTTTGCCAACTGCACAAACTTAAAAGTGAGGTGAGATTGTGACTTTCTTCCTAGCTTTCTGCAGTTGCCATTCCATTTAAATTCTAACTAAATGTAATGGTTAATAGAAGCAGAACTAACAAGACTGCTAATTCACATGCTTGAAATACAGCGAAAGGAAATCAATGAAACCTCCATCAAGAGGAAAAAAAAAACGAACCAGCAAGTTTCCTATTCTTGAGCATTAAAACAAAACTCACAAAAATAGAGACCTTAATTCCCCACCTCCCTCTTTCTAAAACAATTTACAAGTACCATACTTCCTCACAGCTGTTTGTGATAAACGCTTAGTTAATTTAAATCTGTTTGCCTAATCCTCCTCCTTAAAACAAACAGGATATTGGTTATTATTATGGAACTGATATTATCTGGGTTTTACTTTTTTTTAAAGAACACTTAAGTTTTATGAACTTTTTCTTTATCTTTTGTTGACTCTTTCAATTTACTTACCCACAGATTCTCAGACTTTCCACACTATCCTAAGCTACTCGGCGGATCCCCCTAAACCCGGGCCTCTCTCCCCCCAACCAATTCTGTTTGCTGAAGTTCACTTAGTCTCTGCCAGGCAAAACTCCTGTATTTTCACTCTCCTTGTTTCTGTGAAAGAAGTGGTCCTCCGGCTTGCCAAGTAGATCCTCTTCAACTACTTTCTCCCCCTCCTCTACTTACGTCTTTTTCAACCTGATCTACAGGCTCCCTCCTCTGAATGTGTAAGATCAGAAGTCTCTGTTGCTAAAACTTGCCTTCCGTCAAGTTTAACAGTAAGGGAAGGAGGAAGTGAGGCTGAAAAGGATGAATCCTTAACCTCTTGCAATCTCAGTACCCTCTACTGCTTTACGTAAATTCTTCAAGTACGCTCATCACCAAATCCCTCATTCTTCTCAGTCCTCACCTACACCTCCAATCTAGCCAGTTGGCATTCTGACTCCTTTGCTGGCTCATCTTCGCTGAAATACAAGGTATTTCCTGAAGTTTTGTCGTAAGCCTCCTCTTTCTCACAGTTTCAGCTGGTGACCCTGACTTCTCTCCAACTTTGGTCACTCACTTCGACTCGCTTATCAAATCTCTCCTGCTGGATGTCCTGCCTGAACCTTTAAGTCACCATGCCCAACAATCTTACCTCTTCTCCCCTGCTCCCCTGAATCTTTCAATTTTCTTGTGTGTGCCCTCACTGTCTGGCCACCCCCTCTCCATCTGGACAGGGGTACCAAGGGAGAAGGAATCAATTCATTTGCCAGGAACCAAGATTCGATCTCATATCTCTCAAATCTATCATTGATGTTCTACATCCAGCCACTTGGTAGTAAACCTCTAATCTGCACTGCTGTAACACTCTCCTTTTGGTACCCTTATTGCATGTTTTCAGAATACAGTATTACTGGAGAAATATTCCTTAAGTAAAATCTTTAACCAGGCCAGGCACTCATGATACTCTACTCAGTGCTTCTCAAACTGTAACATGTATGTGAATCACATGGTGATCTTGTTAAAATGCAGATAACTCAATCAGTGGGTCTGGGTGGTGCTTGATTCTGGATTTCTAACATGCTCCCAAGCTGTTCACATGCTATTAGTTTAAGACTAATATATACAATTTGGTCCCGATGTACTTTTCCAGTCTCATTATCTACTCCTCCCTGCCCAGCACACATGTACGTCTGCATCTCTCATACACAGAAGACACAAACACACACAAATCTTCCCTAAGCATACTTTCCAGCTTCTATACTTCTTGCTGTTTCCTCAAGTCCAGTGTCTGCCATCAGCAATCCCACTCACTTCTCAGAAACCAACCCATTCTGCCACAGACTCTTCTCACCCACCTTACCCACATCACTTCTTCCCCCACCCCTGCTACTGAACACCACAACCACCTTGGGACAGTGACAGCAAATTCACCTTTGCTCTGCACCTGTCATTGTGGATCTCCTCAGCTAATCCTCACAGCTACACTTCATACTCTGCCAGGAGGGCAGAGACTATCTGCCTGATTTCTGTAGTCCCATGGCATCTAGGGCCATTTTAAGTGCCAAAAAGTGCCTGCTGCAGTGGATCTGCATTTTAAGAAAAGTGAAAAGTCTTACTCTACTTCATGTAATTTGAGCAGGTCCTTCAGAAGTTTAAGATAAACAAAAACACTCTTTCAGGAAAGTTCATTCATTAGCAAAACCTATGAAATGTTGTCAATTATTTGCAGCTTAAAAGTGAAAGAATCCACATATATGCATTCAAATAGTGCCTAGAGAACTATGCTAAGGTTCCCAGGTATACACATCAAGGTTCTGGTATTTAACTAAAAATTAAATCTAATTTTTATGATCTAGTATTGCTATATTATAACCTTACAATACTTCCCAATCCAGATTCTAGCCTTCCCTGGTTTATTTACCTACTACTCCTTTTATCACTCCATTTGTACATGGGACATCACTTTTCTTCCCAGGTGTGCTAAGATTAGCTGTCTGCAAAATACTTTACCATTAAAATGCCTTACATGTGTGTTCAGAATTTGAAAGGTGTTTAAAACGTGTTTCTTGGAGTTACATTTTTAAGGAGGCTAAGCAAACCAAGTAAGACAACTTTGTTAAATGTTTATATGGTAAACCCTCTAAACATCAAAGAAATGCCAAAATTCAAGAACCTACCTATTGCTCTTAAACTTAAGTGTGGTCAAGAATTGTCTGGAGTACTTGATTAACTTGCTGTTTCCAGATTCTTACCCAGAGAAAGTCTGATTCAGTACAGTTGGGTGGGGCCTAGAAAATTGTACAGTTTGTACACTAACCAGCATCCACAGGTGATTCTAGTGCAGATGTTCTGCAGATATCAATTAGAGAAATACTGACTTTCAACCTTGGTCCAGGATCACTACAAGGCTGTGTTTAAAGGGAAATGTAGAAATCGCTTTGTAAAGTCCTTTTCCCAAACAGCTGTCATCCTAGCAGAGACAAGGGGTGATTCACGAAAGAAAAGGAGCGACGTAAAGTTCTTGAGGCTATGAATAAAGCCCGAAAACAATGAAAGAGGTAAAGTGACGTCTTTGCTACCCCTGCGCTCCATTCTCCAGGCATGCCCCAGATACCCTGGAGGACGGTGCTCTTGCCCAGTGAGGACAGGGCGCCCGGGAGCGCAGCGAGACCAGTCACTGGCTCGGGAGCTGGGAAGGCGGCCCCGCGCTCGCCCCCGGTCCCCGGCTCTCCTCCGCCAGCGAGAAGCCTCAGCCGAGGGGTATACCTCTGCCCCGAAGGTCCCTGGCGCGGGTAAAAAAGGAGCCTCCGGTCAGTGGCTTCGGGGCTCAGCCCGCTCCGCTCACCTGCCGCGCGGCCGCAGCTCGGCCTCTTCGTCGGATTCCGGCTCCCTCGGCTCTGGCTCGCCAGCGGCCGCCGGCAGCGCCTCGGCGTCCTCCACCGTCACCTCAGCCACAGCCACGGACCCCGCCGCTGGCACCCGCGCGGCCGACATGGGAGCGGCCGCGGCCCCCAGGCCGAACGCCGTCTCCGCCGTGGGGCGGGGGGCGCGCCTCGTGGTCACCGTCCCCACCGCGAGCCCCAGCAGCAGCAGCAGCAGCAGCAGCGCCCGCGCGAGCCGCCCCGAGTGGGTGGCACGCTCCATCAGCGGCCCGCCCCACGCGCGGGCATGGAGGTGCAGCTGCCGCGGCCCGCCTCTCCCGCCGCTCGGAGCCCCCAACCAAGACGAGGACGCGCTAAGAGCTCCACCGCCACCCGGCCAGCCTGAACAGCCAGCCGCGTTTCCCCAGCCACGTCTTAGCCCGGCCTCTGCCACCGCCACCTGAGTGACAACATCCCTGAGCCATCGCCCATTGAGCAAACTTTCCGCGCATCTCCTCTCGGATTGGTTGCAGCCACCGCCACTCCAGGGACTCAGGCCGGTCCTTGTTGGAGAAGGTGGGCTTTCCCGGATGTCAACATCACGTTTGCCAATCAGATCGTATTGTCGTCTCCTGAGGCCCGGCCTTCTTCCGGACGCAGTTACCAATGAGAAGTGCCCCTCCCTGCAGCCTTCTTGCCTGATTGGTGAGTTAAGTTACGCAGTTCCCGCAATATCTTTCGTGGAGCAGATTGGTCATAGCGGTGGTTTGCCTCGCCTCTCAAAGAGAGGCGCTAGAGGGAACTTGAAGATCATTGGTGAAAGTGGATGCTCCTCAAAGGCTGCTGTAATTTCTTTTTGATTGGTTGGAAGCGGTACTTAATACGTGGCTGATTCTGGATGAGGAGGTTATGGTCCCAAGTGAAAGAAGAGTGGGAGGAGAAGAGTTCCTGGTGGCGAGGAGGTGGCGGACCATAAAGGAGCTGCCTCTGTGGCTCTTCTAAAAGCCTGATCTGTTTGGAAAGGCAAAAGCGAAACAGGCAAAATAAGTGACTACATAAGGCACGTGATTCCTAGCGCTGGAAGGGGTAGAGTGGATTCAGGAAAGGATCCTGCATGCGGCCACCACGACGCTGAGAATTACAGCCTGTGACCTGCAGATGATCCAGGCTATCCCCCCGGCCCCGTCCGTCGTTAAAGCGGAAGAAGCCCAGGCCCGCTGCACTTAACGTAGTTCATCTAAAGTGACATAGCTATTTACAGAATCGTGACTTGGTAACAAGCCTTCTGACCCTGGCTGCCATGCTTTGCACCTCACTATAGGGCTTCAGTAAAGAAAGATAAAACTGTAAAAGGCCAAACTGGAGAAGATTTGAATGTTTTCTTAAGGCATTCAAAATTTTCTCATAGCAGTTAAGGTCACCATGACGACTTTTGACCAGATGACCAAAACAGTGAGTTGTGGGTTTGGAAGATGCACCCATCAGCAGTGAATTCAAAGCAATAGCGTCAACGCTGAGGAGACTAGTTGAGAGGCTGAAGCTGAGACACATGCTCCCATCAAAACTCGGTTAAGATTTTTTAAGATACTAGCATGTGAACATGCTCATTTTTCTGTCCCAAAGCAAAACAGGAAAAGCCTGGCTTCCCCTCCACTCCTACCAGGTTTTCTAGCTCCTCAGTTCAGTCAAACTCTACAATGTTCTAAGCTCCCTATCTTTAGTTCCTCTTATCTCCTTGTCAAACACCCTGCAGCCAGGCTTTCATGCCCACAACTGCTCTTGCTGAGGCCACCACTGGCTGCATTCAAAGGACAATTCTGTCTTATCAGGCTACATTTAACCCAGTAACTCAGTCTTACCTCTGTAAGACATTTTTCACTCATCTTCTGCTTCCCCATTAGCCAAGTCATAACCCTCATTAGGCTTCATTGTAACTTAATTGTTCTTTAAAGGCCTTATTTCCAAGCGTGGTTACAATCTGAGGCACTGGGATTAACAACTTCATATATATTTGGAAGAAGGAGGACACAATTCAGCCCATAAGGCCCAGATACTCACAAGACTTGTTCCCTCACTTCCTTTGAGGCTTTGTTACCTTTCCAGTGAATCCTCTCCTAACCAGGCTTTTTAAAATTGAAAACTCCCCCTGGCTTTAGTTCTTTCCTTAGACCTTAAATACTATAATTTATATATTTGTTTTGTTTATTGTCTGTCTCCCTCCACTTCTATATATGCTCTATGAGGATTTGCTCACTGATCTATTCCAAAAGGCTAAAATAGTGTTAGGTATTTAGTAAGCATTTAATAAATAGTTGTTGAATGAATGAATGAATGAATAAATTAAACAGGACAGAGAGAGAGACAAATGGAAAGAAAGAGATTGTAGTTGCTGTAGCTAGAACGTGGTGATGAAGGAAACAAGATCCCAGAATATCTTGAGGAAACAGGGGAATGCCTTCCACATTGAAAGAAGAGATTAGAAAGTGGAGATTAAGTTATTGTGAAATGAAGAGAAAATAGATGAGAGAGCTCAAACTAGTTGATCATTAATTAGTCAACAAAACAGAAAATAACATCTCCCACCTAACTGAAAAATATAATAGGTAATATGAAGACAGTATCAGAAAACTAACATCAGATGAAAAACAATTGTTGGCTACTTGTAATGGTCTGCTTGAAATAAGCTAGTGTATATATTTTAGCGAACCCAGTCTTCATGGTTTGGTAACTTTTCCAAAAAATGATCATGGCATGAACAATAATTTGAACTAATGAACTAGGAGTCTGCTTGCCACCTGTAAATGATATGAAAGTTTCATTTATTTCTCTATTCATTAGTATTAAGAGAGTACTATAGGAATAAAGATATGAACAAAGCAGACATAGTCCCTGCCCTTCTGAAGCTCAACATCTATCTAGTTATTGAGACCACTTTAATAATCACACGTATGTTTATGTTGTGAAAATAAAGATAAGTGCTATGATGTAAAAGGCACTGACAGCAGAGCAAAGTGGTAGAAAACCCCAGTAGGGAGAGTCAAGCTTTATTTTATACTCAGGGAAATAACATGCAAATATTTCCATTTTGGAAAAGGAAGAAAAGTCCTGAGTCATAGTCAGCTTTCTGGGAAAAAAATTGAAGGAGGGAAGAGAGAATCTGTCAGGTTTAAGACAGTGTGGAGGGTCATGGTGACTGCACTGGGATCTGAGTCTGAGAACCTCAGGGAGGTGTAAGTAAAGTTGGGACCAGGCATGAGAGCTGATTGATGTGTCTGAGCCAGGAAAAGAAACTGCTGCTTGGGTGTCTGGCCAAGTCTTCCAGGTTTAGAATTAAGGTTCTAAAACTGAGCTTGGTCCAGAAAGTTAGGAAAACAGGTCAGAGATTTGGAATCCTAGGCTCAATCCATTAACAGAGAAAGTCTGTATCTGCTGAGATTATATTGATTGTACATAACAAAAACCTGCTATATAGTGTTTGAAACATGTAAGGGACTTATTTTTCTTACTGAGGCAACAGTTTCAATTATGTTATATTTAGTTATGCTCCTTCTATTTTTCCATTCTTCATCTATGACTTTTGTTCTTCAGGAATATCATTTCATGATGTCAGAACAGCACTCCAGCATCATTTCTTTATTACAGGTAGGGAAAAGGGGAATAACAAAAGACATGTACCACCTGAATTTGACCAGTGTCAGAACTTTCCTAGAAGCCTCATGAGGGGACTTCTACTTATATTTCACAGGCCAACACTGTGTCACCCTGAGCTGCAAGGGAGGCATGCTGCCACTCCAGACAAAACTGGGGTTCTGCTAATGAGGATGAAGGAGAAAATTTTAACCTGTGTTTTTGAAGTATGATCCCTGAATAAATTGTACCTATAGAAAGTGCATGCTTGGATAAGTTTCAACAGGTGTAAACACCATAGAAAGGTTAACAGAACATTCCTATCACCTCCAAGAGATTCCTTATGTCCCTTCAGAGGGGACCCTTCTTTTCACCCAGTTGCCAGCTAATCATTGATCTCTTCCATCACAGTAGACTTTTCTAGGATTTTAATAAGTGTAGTCATACAGTATATACTCTTTTGTGTCTGGCTTCTTTTATTCAGTGTAACATTTTTAAATCCGTGCATGTTGCATGTAGCAGTACTTAATTTATTTTTATTCCTGAGTAGTATTTTACTACATAAGTACCACATTTGTTTATCCATTCACCTGTGGTGTGCACTGGGATATTCCCAATTTTTGGCTATTACTAATAAAGCTGCTATGAACATCCAAGCACAAGTCTTTGTGTAGGCAGAGGCTTTTATTTCTCTTGCATAAATACCTAGAAGTTGAATAACTGGCTTATGTGGTTGATGTCTGTTTAACTTTATAAGAATCTGCCAAACAATATTCATGCTCCAGTTAGATTAGACAACTCCCAGGCGAAGGGTGTGAGAGTATAAATTTTTGTTGTTTTAACCACTGCATTTCGGATGGTTTCTTACACAGCATTATTATGGTTATAACGACTGCTACAGCACTGCATATTTCACTGTGTGCCAAACTTTCTTGGGTGCTTACCTGAATAAACTCTTCCATTTATAAATGTTTTGAACAGAAATTTCACAAAAGAAGGTATGTAAATGTCCAATAGGCCAGTGTTTCAAAGTGGTTCCACTTTATACCCCCACCAGTGATGTATGAGAATTCCAATTGTTCTAGACCCTCACCAACACTTGGTTTTGTCTTTTTGCTACTCTAGTGGGTATGCAGTGGTATTTCATTGTAGTTTTGGTTTGTATTTCCCTGATGATGATTTTGAGCACCTTTTAATGTGCTAGGGAAAGGAGGTAATTTTATTCTTGCAGGTATATGCAATTTTTCCAATTTGGAGGAGAGACATTAATTAGCCATGGAATTTGCTCTGTGCTCTGGGACAACCCGCTTCTCCCTAAATCTCATGGTGTGTTCCACGTCACTTGCACCAGGTGTTTTTTGTCATTTGTGCCAGGTGTACTCTGAGGTCATTTTCCCCTGGGGTTCTCGGTGGTCACTTACACCAGGTATTTTCTTTGCTCACTTTAGTTCCATTTTTCTATAACATCATGTTTATGTTCTCTTTTGAGAATATTTATACATTTTTACATTTAAAAAAATCTAAACAGTGAGGTAGAATAAATAAACACAAGTGCAAAGTATCATTTTATATCACCAACCAGAGATGAAATTATTTCTCATGTGGGACCACTAGTATATTCTTAATGGCCAGCAAGTACAGAATAAGATTATTTATTTTTTATTTTGTGTTTTTATTTGGATGATTTTTAAAATTAAATATAATCATAGGATCACCTGGCTAAACCTTTTGGGCATTTCAGGCCCAAGCCTGCCTATGTGTCTACCAAATAACACCAAGTAATACTATTTTAATGTCATAGGCAACACAGAAAAAAAATAGCTGCATATTTGCACATAAAAGATTTGTTACTGTCAAATAAAACCCAAAGGATGTGGTGTCCTCTGACAGTAAGTGTTTCACATGGTTCA